AGGTGCACGTGACTAATTTTGCCACCCGAGGCGCCAGCTTGAAACCAAACCCATTTTAAAGCGCACATGAATGCCAGACCAGCCCCTGGTGATGTCGTCATCCCAGCTATCAAACTCATTCAGCCATACCGACAGCATGCATCAGTTCTTGCGCGCGTCTAAGAAGGATTTGGACGCTTACGCGTGGTCGTAATCAGAGCGGCACCCGGTCCAGCAATCCTCGATGCTTCGCTAGCCGTCCACCTCTGGCGAAAAGATGCCTGTCACATCATCGTACTGCCCGACAACCTAGTAGTCCTCTGTCGTGTTCATCACGCTCGCCTTCAGCACGTGCCTCACATCATCGCTCGCCGTACCGGACACGCAGTCCCGACGCCCCTCCTCCATTCCGGACTCCATCACCAGGAACAGGTCCGGGCACTCAACCATGCCAGCGACGCTCGACACGTACATCAGCAATGCAAATCGGCGGAAGCTACGCAAGATCAAGGCAATCCTAAATGAGTGATCACTAACTGTTTAATGTTAACTTGATGTTGATCGAGTACTTATACTTCTTAATTAGTTGTAAAACTGCTATGTGCTCAGTTGATTACCTATCTAACTTGTTGAATCTTCTATGCTAAGTTGTTAAACTATTGTGCAAACGTCAGTGATGTTGTCATGTTAGTCGTCATTCTGTGTCGCTGACGGAGGGAAACGTCAATTTTTTGTTATTGCATGGTATATTGGTGGCGTGTTGTGAAAAAGCAGTTGTGGTGTGTCTAACCCACACCACCAGTATATATGTTAATGATGGCACGGGGTCGACACGCCATCACTAGCCTTTTCTGCACTAGTGCGAAACTCAACCGACACAGTTGCATGTCCACCCTCGACAAGCAACTAATCCGACCCAGTTGCTTGTCCACCTTTGATATTCAAATTTGATTATTTTAATTTTTGCCCTTTCTGATACTGATTTTGAATTTTTGTATTTTCAAAAATAGTCACCACATCTAAAAAAAAGTTCACCGCATATTTGTAAAATGTTCGTCTTGTTTTCTATTAAAAGTTTTCAATGTATCTTGAAAATGTATTTTTTAGACCCACAAACATTTTCAAACTTGTTAGCATTTTTAAAATTCACAATCATATTATTTTTTCACAAACAGTTTGCAAATCATGAACATCTTTCAAATTCCTGAACATTTTTTTAATTCATGAACCTTTTTTTAAAATTCTCAAACATTTTCCAGTTCTTTGTTTTTTCAGTTCACGAACATTTTTTATCTCCGCGAAGGTGCGAACTATTTAGGAGTTTTCTGAAATAGCAATTTCTATCCCAAATATTTTAAATTCATGATTTTTATGAACTCAAGAACTTTTTAAAAATTCTCAAACACCTTCAAATTCATAAACATTTTTATATCAACGATATTTTTTCATACTCGTGAATTTTTTTTGGAATTCATGAACATTTTGTGAGTTGATGAAAATTTTCAAATTTGTGAATGTTTTAAAAATTCTCAAACACTTTCAATTTTATAAGATTCACGAACATTTTTTATGTCTGCGAACTGTTTTGCAATTCATGAATATTTTCTAAAATAGCATTTTTTACCCCAAATATATCAATTTATTTGAGAAAGAAAAAGGGAAATCCTTTTACGTGCCCATGTACACGCTGCCTTTTTTTGACAACGCTTTTTCAGAGGACCATGTGCATAGCTATGGTCTGTCCTGATGGAAATCGCGAAGCAGAAATAATATAAGCTGTGAGGAAGGAGGGAAAACTGACAAAAAGGAAAAAGTTTGTAAGTTTTTCTTTTAGTTGCAAAAAAATGTTTGTAAGTAATAAATACTGCTTTTGTTTTGTCCGCTAGCGATGGGCTTCTGCTGGGCTAGCGAACGCAGAGGAGCGAGCGAGAGAGTACGGTAACAAAACTGAAATTAAAACAGCAATTACCAATACTCGTTCCCAACACCACACGCTGAAACCGCGAGGCATTAGCCACTACACCGCACACCATGAACTGAACATAAAGGTGCAGATATCTACTCCCTCCGTTCGGAATTACTTGCCGCAGAAATGGATGTATCTAGATGTATTTTAATTCTAGATACATCCATTTCCGAGACAAGTAATTCCGAACGGAGGGAGTATAAGAATAGACAGATGCGTTGATATTCAGGAAACATTTTGAAACCATTTCAAATATTGCGAGTGGTTCTCAAATGCCGCATTTTTTGGGGGGAAAGTGAAGATGTTTTGTAATTCTGATTTGAAACTGAAACAAGAACAAAATTTGCAAACCCCAAACAGAATCCAAAAACACGAACAATTTTCAAAAATGTTTCTGAAAAGCAAACAAATTGCGAAAAACATGAACATGTTTTGAGATAGCAAACAGTTTTTAGTTTTATAAAAATGGCAAACAGGAACATTTTTTTAATTCAGCACCAAAAAAGTTAAAACATGAACTTTTGTTAAAATGCGAACAAAATACTCCCTCCATTCTAAAATATAGTGCGCCCGCGCTTCCCGAGGTTCAACTTTGACCATAAATTTAACCAACGAGACCAACTGCGGCGGAAGAAAAAAATTATATAATTAAAAACTTCTTTCGAATACGAATTCACTGATATAATTTTTGCTCCCGCCGCAATCGGTCTTGGTAGTTAAATTTACGGTCAAAGTTGAAGCACGTGGATAGAGGAAGCACTACATTGTGGAATGGAGGGTATATTGTACGTTTTTTTTTTGAAACGCGAACAAAATTTTAAACATGGGAATATTTGTTGAAATTGCGAACAAAATGTTGAGATCGCAAAAGTTTTTCGAAAAATGAACAATTTTCTGAAATTATGAACAAATTTTGAAAACGAGAATATTTATTGAAATTCCTGAACATTTTTTGAAACATAACAAAATTCTAGAACTGTGAAAAAATTCAAAACGAGAATATTTTTTGAAAATGATCACTGTTTTTTAAATTCTTGTAGATATTTTTAAGCATGAACTTTTTTGAAAATGTGAAATAAATTGTAAAGGAATAACATATTTCTAAAATTTCAATAAAAGCATTTTTTGAAAGCATGAACATTTTTCGTTTTGAACAAAAGCATTCGCAACATTTTATGAAAATCGCAAACATTTTTCGAATTTATGAACATTTTTCTAAACTTGAGAACAATTTTCGAACATGAACTTAGTTTAAAAAGATAAAGTAACGTTGAAAAGGAAAAAACAGAAATTGAATTTAAGAACAATTTTTTAAAGACAAGAACATTTTTATAAATTTAAGAACAATTTTCGAACATGAACTTAGTTGAAAAAAGATAAAGTAACCTTGAAAAGGAAAAAACAGAAAGCGAAAAAAAACAAAAACCAGTAAAAGAAAAAAACCGGCTGGCTAGAGGCAGTTGTACGCGCAAAATCTGGGCCGGCCCATCGAGTCGCTGCTCGGCCGCTCCCCTGTGGCGCCACCGCCGCCTCTTTGCTATGTGACATGCCCAATCCAGGCCGGCGGACCCGGCTTCCCCGCGGGAGGATGGCCGGCCGCACTTGAACCCTTGCCAGGTACGCAGAGCAGCCTCAGTCACAGCCTTGCCTTCTCCGATCTCCTGACCTCCGGCCGCACTTGACTAATAACAAGTGGATCGTGCTACTGCTATGGAACAATGGGCTTACTGCTGTGGTATGTTTGGTTATGATGCAGCTTAAATGTATGTATACGTATCTTCTATTTGCAGCGCGGGACGATAAGCACCTTGCTTGTTGACAGTGATTTTAGTAAAACGCCCTTTTCCAGCTAACATTTATAGATAATGTGCCAAATTCTGCTGATGTACTATAATGTTTCATAACTGAAATCATTTTTTTCTATACTGGTAATAGTTTCTTTTTTAACAAAAACTCTATACATGCGGCATGTTTCAAATGGAGAATTTTGTTAGCAACGTGTGCCTGGATAATAATGTTGATGATATTGTTGGGAATTTCATATTCAACGTATGCCATCTTTGTTTGTGCTTTTTGTTCAGCAGCCAGGTAGCTAGGTTAAATTAAAAGAGTAAGCAACGCCCAAGATGAAGACTGCTCCTTGGACAACAACAGGTTTAACTGGGTGGAACTGGAACACCCGTTCCCTTCCATATACGCTTGCTTTGCCATAGTTAGCATCTACTCCTCACCCACCAGGGTGAGGTTGGAGTTGGGCCAAACATCCCAAACATACAACATCCATCACAACCAAGGTCAACGGTGGGTAATTCGACGACGGCAGTTACCACAGTTTACACGAAAATTTGGCATCATCATAGGCTACGCCGATGTGCCAGGCACGTCTTCACCGCTCCCGGCAGGAGGCCCTGAGGCTGGCTTGGCCCGTTCGACCGCAGGAGGAGGTGGTGGTGGGGGCTTGGAAGGCCTGTTCGGCTTGATGAGCCCGACTTTCTCCGCCGGTATGTCAAACTGTCATTATCACACAAGCAAAACACAACACCACAATGTGAGACATCTGGTGTCATGTGGTTAATAATATCATCACAATAAACAAAGAGGAAGCCATATTGCTCGCGCGGAACCCCGTTAACTTACCCTGTATCCACACCCAGAGATGCACGCGTTGAAGCACTCCTGGTGAGCAGAAAAAAAATTGAATTCATTAGGAAATAAACACTGGTTACTGAATCTGTCAGAAAAAAAGAAATCACAATAGCAGTCACGGAGAGGAAGATACTAATCTGCTGTTTACAAACTATTTAATGCAGAGCTTTCAGCAGTAAGACAGACTCGTACAGACTTGCAGATATGGAAACTGCACACCATCCAGGAATTAACAGCAAAACAGCTTGCACATTAAACTGGCATGGAACTATGTATAAAAATGATCCCCATAAGTAACCAGCCAGCTGATAGATATTGAGCAGACTATCCAAGTAGCATTATGATTTGCATGCCAAATTTTCAAAATTAATCAAACAAACTGGACTAGGGCAATCTAACTTGACAGTAAGTAACAATTCAGAGTTATCTACCTGCTGAACTGCGTTCTGCCTGTTAGCAGAAAAGCTGAGGGCTCAATGGCTCATGCTATCACTCGGGACAAGTTTTAAATACAGGGAAAACCAAGGATTCAGTTATCCCAACAAAAATCCCCAAAACTAACATATGTGTTCCAAGGAAAATGGTAAGCAGAAGGGAAATATTGTGATGCCGCACAGAAAAAATGTATACTGTACAGCAGATACTATAGAATCAGGAGTGTCCTGTTCATGGTCAGAACATGTGAATCCTATATAAATACCTATCAACGTTTACTATTTCAAATCACTTTTCACAGCACAGTATCACACTCTTACTCAATCCTAATTACATATGGTCAGGTTAATTTTGTGACACTATATCACAGTTGCAGTCAAGGCGTCAAAAAGTGCAGCTTAGTCTTTCTGTGGCTAGAAAGACTTAGGAGTTAGCGCCAGCATGAGTATGTACAATCTAAACAGGTTTATAGGTAAATGGGTTATTGCATAACAGATTCTGTACTTATAGTCGAAGGGGTTGAGTGATGAGAAGACATCTGAAACAATTTAGAAGATGTTATATTAACAGGTGAAGAACTCACCAAGGAGTAACTGTCCTCTCCTGGCGACCGGTCGATATAAGCACTCCACTGGCGATCTTCCAACACCGGATCCTTGTAGCATATTTCAGTGCATTTACCTATGCCTGGGGATTTCACAGCATGTGAGTTAGCTTGCACATTGACAGGGTGTACAAATTGAAAGACAACAATCTGCTATTTTACAGTCACCCAGAAACACAACAACCTGCTATTTCAGTCACCCAGCATTTAAAAAAAGGCATATACAAGTAATAAAGATGACATTACTGTAAGAAAAATCAGAGACTTGTTTCAACAACAGAAACAAATTGTTTAAAAAGCAAGCTCTTCTAGGCCATGGAAATAATGGAGAAAATGCAATTTCCTAAGCAAGCAAGGCACCAAGAATGGAAAACAAATAATAATCCACTGATTACAACTAGTACAGTTTAAACATACAGCCATATTTAAAAATAATGAGCGTCTACGCTATACGACAAGGAGCGCGTCCTCGGATACAATAACGAACATCTACACTATACGACAAGAAGCGCGTCCCCGGATACAATAACGAACGTCTATGCTATACGACAAGAAAGGCGTCCTCCCACATTTTGCTGTCAATCACGGTCGTTATGTATGATAACAGAATGTGGTAAGGACTATTCCCGAATGCTACTAAACTCTGAACCAGGAACAATGCCAATTCAACAACACATAGATAATTCACTCTATTTTCCAGGGCAATCACTTCAGGAAGGCAAAAGCTAATATAGATTAACCACATTGCATATATCAGATTCCAAACTGACGATGAACATGAATAACCAAAATAAATCTAAAACCAAAACCAAACCAGCGGATCAATCAGTCAATCAAACAGTTGCATTCCGCGGCTGGTGGTTGGCAGGGGGCACTCACACTCCTCCCAGGTGTCGCCGTCCGCGTTGCACCCCTTCTTGCAGAACACCCTCCCTGCGCGTCGGCGAAACGGCAACCGCCCGACCAACCAACCAAACAAACCAACCGTCAGTCTCGATCAGCCACAGGACAAGAACCCGCTTTGCGCGGGGAGAGATTGGGAGGGAGGGAGAGGGCGCGCGGGGGGCAACCGACATGGGATTTGGACGAGAGTCGCGTACTTCTTGGTGCAGCAGCTGCCGCACGGCGGCGTCCAGTCGCCGGAGAACATCGTCTTACCCTGTTCACGACGGCGCGCCGGCTCGTCCGGTCCGGCGGGCGTTCGCGCGTACGGCGCGTTCGGCGTGAGGGGGGTGGGTG